ACTGAATATTTTTTATTGTCTTGATTTAGAGATTAACTGATGGGGGACAGACTTCATTCCTTGGAAAGAACACCTCTTCTCCCCCTGAACTGTCAGTACCAGACTGTAACTTGGAGGTACTGAATTTGTACCCACTCTTAACACAGACTTTGAAGTATCTGTCCAAAGGAGATGCCCTATTGAGATCCATTCCCGGCTTTCCCACCAATAAAGCTATGCTGTGGGGCAGGGACGAAGCCTGAACAAGATGGCATGGTTGGTGTTGCATAGATGAAAAGGGAAAGAGGGAACACACATCTAAAAGGGTGAACAGAAAATCATCATTTATCTAAATAGAATAGAAATAAACAAAACCTTTTTAAACAATCACAAAATTTACAAATAAATTGGTACAAAATAAATAGGAGAAATTGTAAATCTACAACATTCGATTTATAAAATGCATTCATTATGACAATCAGCTCATGAAACCTATACACTTGACTTGTGCTTATTTAACTTCACACAGCTCTCAAAACTGTGTTCAGAAAACTTCACTGCTCAAATGCATGAAATGTACACCATGATACAGTGAGTAAAGGCTAAGGAGGATGAAAATCAGACAAAGCAGGGCTTACACGAGGACCAAGGCAATGTTGGCACTGGGCCCCAACACCAAGAAAAGGCAAATTTAACAGCCCAGATGGGCAGGCAGCTTCCATGGTCCAGAGAGAAGCATTTTGTGATCCAAGGTAGAGGCCATCACTGTGGGACCAGGCAAACAACCTGGCTGGGAGAGGGGTGAGGAAGGAGGCTGTGGTCTCAGCCACCTGTACCACTGTATCGGAGAAGGGACCCAGTCACCAAGAAACCACCTCTGCAATACATCATGAAAGGATTTGAGAGGCCCTACCACAAGGTAGAAGGTCTGCCTTCACAATCCTCCCAAACACTGATCATCAGGAATAGAGGTGGGCCCCCAAAAGGGGGCTGGGGATACAGAGGCCAACATAAGAGCAGCAACATGTTTTTTAGGTGGGGGGAACCCACCACTGCCCTCTCACCCAACTTAAGGGACAACAGAACCCTAAGCTCTGTGGATGAGGGGCTTCAGAACATATCTTGGTCACAGACCTACTAACAGTAGAGGCGTATGTACATAATAAATAATAATATAAAATTAAGCATATACATTTGTGGATTTAAAGACTGCAAAAACAAGAAAAGTCAATGGATTGATACACTCTACCTTCCACAACAGACTTTAGACAGGATGGGTTATGAATCAGAAGCTAGGCTAGGGCTCTGGGGAATAAGACTCCAAAGACCTCATTCTTTCCTACTTCCTCTGCTCTGCCTGGATGCCCACTGCTTATACTCAAGGGTCCTGAGTCTTCAAGAAAAAGGGCAGGCACCCAACCAAGCCCATCGGGCCCATTAAATAGTTCTCTTCAGGATGCTTCTGAAGAGGAATCTAGCCCTCAATCATTTCTTAAGTGAGTCCGTGTACATCAGATATGGGCAAACACCAGAAAGGCAAGATAATACTGCCAATCAATCATTCTTTGAATTTGTACATGGTCTCAACAGGCATTATATCCTGAAAATATTGTTGACAGACTCATCAAGTCTGCGTTGATCTGTGCACATAAAAACCTTGACATACAAACACTTAAAATTTGACTCTTGCCACTAGTACTGTTGTTTCCATGTTGCTTAAAATACCATCTGGTATTTCCCAAAAGATACTTAATGTGATTCTAGTTGAGATGATGTCAGTGGCCTTAGAATACAGAAAAAAAGGTTACTTGAACTAAGTCAAACATAGTTCTAAGAAGCAAAGAAGATTCCCAGCAAAAGGCAGCAAGAGGAAGGCCACTCTCACTCTGCCATTGCTGGTATCTGCCATCTCTTCTTCCAGTCCTGTGGCTGACCAGGGACTCTGGAATGTGAGTCTTCCATTAAGGAAGAAGCAGAGGGAAAACCAGCAAGTAAGCATTAGTTAGCAGCCAGCAGAAAGCATGCAAGTGCTAAAGGAGGAAGGCCCACTTGTCACAGCCTTGAAGGACAGCAGTATCAGCAGGCTCAGTCTTGGTGCACCACTCATCCCTCAAATGGAGGCAAGTGAACCTCAACCTAGAAGTCTCTGAACTCATCTCTCTCTCCTATCAGACCACTCAAAACAAATGAAAATGGCCCTGAGGTATAAAAATCCACTGAGTGTCTTGCTCATGGAAAAAGTTGTATCAAAAGTTTCTGAATTTCCAAGATTGCTTTCATATTCAATTCTAAATCCCTAATTCTGGGTTAGCCTACACCTCACCCAGTTACCCTTGCCAGAACGAAGCACCACTAGTGTACAGCCCAGATCAATAGCAACATGGCCCAGGAGAGAGCCGTTTCCTCCACAAAGTATGGAGCAATTGTGCCACAGAAGCCACCTAGCCCCTCCCTGCTGGGTCAGCTTTGTGTTCCCAAACCTTTGCAAAAGTCCATCTCTAGGATTAGAGCAGACAGAAGTTGTGCCCCTTGCCCATACCACCTGGGAGCATGGGTTATGCAGTGCAGTGTGCAAAGCCAGCCCTCCTTGGCCTTTTCTTGGAGACCCAGGGACCAAAGAGAGCACCTTCTGCACCAACACACAGGAGTCATCTGCCTGGGACTATCCCTGAAAAGCTCCTTGGAGACTTTGCCCCATGGCCCAGGTATGGCAAAGATGGTCACAGATCCCTGGTGGCCTTCAAAAGATGACAGGTGGTGTATATTTTTGTCAGCTGGGACTTGGGCTTAGTCAGTGCCTCCTTAGGTCTGCTCCTCAACCTGTAGAATTTGAAGGCTGAAATTTATGGTTCCTGCTTAGCTCAAAATTATCCTGTTCCTTTGTTTCCTAGGGGTATAAAAATGCATTTCTATTGGCATCTACCACTATTTTCCTAGACTTGGAAAAGCTGGTCCTGTAGTTGTATGGAATGGGGGTGTCAAGGTAAATCTATTTAGTTAGTGTTCACTATTAATGTGAAGTACTGCATTCACAAATTCCTTGGRAAAAAAAAAAAACATTAGAAAGAGGCAAGATGCCCTACTTTGGCCCTAAGGAAGCCAACCATGTCCACCATGGCATTGAGTTCTCTGCAGGGAGTGCAGTGCGGGGGACGGGGTGGAGGGTAAGGAAGGAAGAACAGAATTGAATGTGGCACCCTTTCAAATTCAACTTATTTAAATACCAAGATTTAAGCTATTTGATTAGTGCCTTAGTAAATCCATTTACAAATCTTAGAGTTCTGTTTTCCTAAGAATTTAAATTCATGATTTTGGACTTGCCTGATGAATACAGACAAAATGACGATAAATACAGAACAGAACCATGAAGGGAGAGAACCTCTAAAGACAGTTGAAAACAGCCCCATTACAAAGAGGGCAAAATGTCCTGGACATTCGGATCCCAGGAGTCTAGTTCCAGTGGAGCCTTCAGGATGCCAGAGTGGCTGCTTAGGAGAAAGTGTGGTCTGTCCCAAACCATAGAGCCAGGCTAGCAACAGAGGCCACTGTAGGCAAGGCCCTCAGGGCAGAACTGAGGGTGGGGGCTGCATCTGGATGGCAACCCTAGGAGAGGATAATCCAGCCAGAGCGCTGAAGTGCAGCAACTATGCACCAAGATTTCACCTAATTAACAGTCTTTTTAGCCCAGCCCCAATGACTTTACAGCTCCGACTGGCATGGGTCCTCCTAAGTGAGACCACTCTCCTGCTGCCCCAGAGAAGAAAGGGACCAGTGTTTCTCCTTCAACGGTCTGAGGGATCTGACTCAGAGGGAACATGAGATTTGGAAAAGAACCTGGTGGTTCAGACATGAGTGCTGCTTGAAGGGTCTTTAGCTCTCCTCAGCTGTAATTATAGCCACATATAGTTCAGATTTGTTCCTTTGGGGACCAGATAGGAACTGTTCTGGATTTTGTGTTATCAAAAGTGTGAATCAAAGGTGAAAAATAGTTAACATAAAATGAGTAAAATCTTGGCAGGCTAAAACCTCATCCTGGGAGCCCCACTGTAGTGCTACCTTGCCAGCTCCTTATAAGCAGAATACTCTGCAAGAAGCCACCATGCTGAGCAGCAAGACAGCATACTAAAAATTTCCTGTTTCTCCTAAGAGAGGCAGTGGCTGGTATTCCCCCTACTCCCCTGATTCTCACAGGTCTTTAGGATCCATGAAGAACAGTGGGGCTCTGAGAAAGACACCAGCCTGTGACTCTCATTCCAGAGGCTCCTGTTAGCAAGGCTGCCCTGAGACTGTACATGGAGAGAGGCCCTGGGCCCGAGAGGTGGTCTGGGTGAAGTTCTTTGAGGCCACAGAGCCTTGGCTTGACCACCTGGCTTCCGAGACCTCAGGGAAGGCAAGCACCACTGGGCCAAAGTGGCAGTTCATTGAGGGAGAGACCCCTGCTATGGCCAGGCCCAGGTTTCTTTTTGTTACAGAGAATTCTCATTTGTACACACTTGTCATATCTGTGTTGTGTCTGGCTAGATGCATCTTAGGAAATRGGTTTTTTAACTTGGATGGACATACTTGAAAAAGGGGACACTCCAGTGTGGGGTGCTACACGATACAGGCTCTGTCCCAAGGTGTCCCTTAGGGGCACTCTCCATGACCCTCCACCAAGTGAGGCCAGTATCTCTCTCACTAAGGGGCATGACAGCATCTGAGGAAGACATGCCCGTACTGCCACCTCAGGGCAAACACTTAAATCAGTCATGCACTGACACCACAGCCACCAAACTGCTCACCAGGAGACCAGCCCAGCAATCACCCCCCACATAGCCCAACCAGGGGTGAGCACACTTCCTACCTGAGGGGGCAGAAGACTGCTGCTGAGCCCCCTCCTGCATGCAGTAAGCTCAAATGCAGAAATGCTCTCTTCTCTGCCAGTGACCAGCCACAGTGGGTATGGATAGTCCTATATAAACACTGTGGGCAGGAGAATTCATTTCAGTGTATGAATATCGTTAGCAAGATGCACCTGTCTCTCGGGCTAATGGTAAAACACAAGCTATTAAGAAAGCAGTCACTCAATATCTGCTGACATTAATTTCACTACACATGGTAAATTTGGTATTAAAGTAAGACGGAGACACACATGAAATGGCCACAACAAACATTTGGTTGCTGAATCCCTGTTTGGGGCCAAACTGACCCTGGCTGTCCAAGCAGCCTCTCTAGTGCAGGCTGCATTTGAGGCAGGAGGCACAGCAGTCCTTGGGGGATGCTGCCACCAATGGGCTTCCTGAGCCCAGAGACGAAGGGAAAGGAGGACAGTTGGCTCCCTGGAAATCCCCAAAGTTCCCTCCTTTAAAAACATGGGTTTAGACATGCCTTCTTGGCCCCAAGTAAAGAATCAGTCTCCTGTTCTGATAACTACATATGTTCCCGGGGGAAGGGAAGGGACGTGACCTCCACACCACATGTTTACTGAAAAGCCCTGTGGAAGGTCTCCATTTGGCATCTGTGTAGCAGCATCCTGGGTTAGCAAGAGCAAGGGCTGGGGAGGTGGAGACGGCGCTCTGTGAACTGGGGTGTGAGAGGACAGCTGGCTGAGCCAGAGACCCCAGGCCGAAGGAATTTCAGGATGAAGTCAACTTGCCTCTTGCCAATGATAAACCATGGGTTTAAAATTCATTAACATTCATTTTGGTGATAAAAATTCCTTAGGGTGGGAGCAAAATCACATTCCCAAGCAAACGTTAAACCTTCCTGAGGGAAAGGGGCATGGTTAAACATTAAATTCTCAAAAACAACACTTAGCACAGAGAGGCGACCGACCACAGGTCCCTCTGCATGCCACACCCCACAGTGACGACAGACTTGGCAGGTTCTGCAGTGACACGGTTTTCTTCATTCATCCATCAAGTTCGACAGCGACACCCACTGGGGCACAGAGGAAGGGTGTCCCTCCCTGGGAAGGCCACGGCAGGCCACTTGTGGGGCAAGTCCATCCTATTAGGGTCACATCATGGGACCACAGCAGAGTTCAGACAGAACAAGTTAAAACTCTGCAAAAGACACTTTTGAAAAACATATCTTGAAAAAATAAATCGCAACAATTTTCAACTTCATGCAAATTGAGGGAAGAGAGTGAGTAAATGATAAAAGGTACAGCTGAAAAAATAAACATGATTCTATTTGGGCGAAGAAGTTCATCTCCAAAATCTTGAACATCATGCCCCAGCTGTCGCTTTCTCATCTCTAGTTTCCCATTCCTTCTCTTGCTGTCCTCTGCGGCTTCCAGGAAGGGGACAAAGTCTTTGGTCTCAGAATGTTGCAGGACGCAGCATGGCAGACAAGCTCATACTAATGAAGTCATGGTCTGACAGAGGCCAGAGCCTCAGGTGGGGGACGGTCGAGGAGGGCCAGTGTAGGCACCCCTAGATGGCGCCTTCGTTGTGCAGGCTGTGATTGGCCTTGCTGTGTGTCACACAGTTCTGTTCATTGAGCAGGTTGGCCGTCTCATCTGGCAACCCATCATGCAGCTCCGTAAGAGTCAATTCAATTTTAGTGTTTTCACTGTCTGAAGACTGAGGGGTTTTGTCCATCCGGGATGCCATCAAGGCATTTTGGTATTGCTGTCTTGAGATCTGGGGCCAGAAGATGACACAGAAAACAAACCAAGAGAATGCTTAATTTTAGGTCCTCTTGTCTCTAACATATATTATACATTAAATCCCCCAAAAGGATTTAATGTATAATAGTAGTTACTACAGGAGAAAATCATCCTTGAGCATAAACTAAGCCATTTTTTTTTAAATTCCCTTTGAGAGATGGGGTCTCACTATGTTGCCCAGCCTGGCCTTGAACAATCCTCCTGCTTCAGCCTCCCAAGTAGATGAGGCTATAGGCATGTGCCAGGGTTCCAGGCTTAAATGGAGGCACTTTTTAAGGTTCAGATTGACTATGGCAAACAAAATTTACTGATGTAAACCATTTCCAAATTTTGACTCAATACCAGAGAGATGAGAAAATAGAGATGAGCTTCCACTACACTAAGAAAAGGACCTATCTCCAGGGCAGAAGGCAAGAGGAGGCTCTCCAGAGGTGCATCCCCCTCAGTAGCCTTGTGAGTCTCCCAAGCTCACCCCTTCCAAGCTACCCAGAGTCACTTGTCATGGGCTCACGAATGCTTTTTGGAAAATGTTGGCTCTTTTTCTCCAGATCTCCAGCTCCCAGGCCCTGAACAGGCCACCTTTGATTTTGGCAGCTCAATTGGTACAGCCAAAGGATAAATGKGTTTCCTAGACTTAGTCCTGGGCCCAGCTGAGGGAGGGAGGGTTTGTGGAGAAGAACTGGAACACAGTTTCAAAGGGAAAGCACAATGGAGGGGATAGGAAGCCCCAATAATCTGCCATAGAAATTGGCATCTACCGCAGGGTCCAGCCAAGCCACCCTCTCTTCACCTACCTTGACAAACTGAAGGTCGGAAAGGGCTCGCACTGAGTAATCAGGGATGTAGACTTGCAGAAATGAAGAATTGAGCTGGTTATTACTGCTCCCCAGCGTTGGTGTTATTGCGTCAATCCGGTCACTTCGACTGAGAGAGTCTGAGTGATTTAAGCCACATGGGCGAGGAGGTGACTTATTTTCACCTAGAAAAGGAGAAAATGCCTCTTAAAGTAGAGGTAGCCAATGGTCAGCTCTTCATTCCAAGTGAAAACTAATAATTACCACACAAGCCCCATGAGCTTATCCCAGGTGCCGTTGCCCTGCAGCTACAACACAGGCGTCCTGCACAGATAGCCTCACTGGCTTCTCWGGGACAGATTATGTTAATCTCAGTTGTGACAGAATCCTCCCAAGTCTCACAGTGGCCTTGTACCTTTGGGAGGAACATCACTGAATGCTATGAAATATACAGATGAGGGACAAGGCCTGAGATAGCAAAGTCACCTGATATCAACACAGGTTACAAGAGGATGGCTCTTACCTTTGCCAGAAACAAAACCAAAAAAAGACTGGAGAATGTCCATAAATCCATATGTGTTTTAAATGGCTCAAAATACCTCTGTTTTCTCATTCCATGACCCCCAGCCAAGCCTATTACCTTTGTCTCTAATCCAATAATCCCACCAGGCAGCTGGAGGATAGCTCAGGAATACAGGACACTGAGTATACCAAATCCTCAAGAACCTGGACTAAGATTTTTTTCCTGTTTTTTTTTTTTTTCCTTTGTGCAGTACTGGGAATTGAACTCAGGGACTTTGTACATGCGAGACAAACACTATGACTAAGCTATATCCATAGTTCTTTTAATTTTGAGACAAGGTCTTGATACATTTCAGAGGCTAGCCTTGAACTTTCAAACCTCCTGCCTCAACCTTCTGAGATTATAGGGGTGTGCCACCACACTCAGTTCTAAGTGAAGCTTTTTTTTTTTTTTTTTTTTTTTTTTTCTGGATGGCAGGGGAATACCAGGAATTGAACTCAGGGGCACTCAACCACTGAGCCACATCCCCAGCCCTATTTTGTATTTTATTTAGAGACAGGGCCTCACTGAGCTGCTTAGCACCTCACTTTTGCTGAGGCTGGCTTTGAACTCACAATCCTCCTGCCTTAGCCTCCCAAGCTGCTTGAATTTTAGGCATGCACTATCGTGCCCAGCTTTGGTGAGGTTTTGATAACATCCTTTCAATAAGATAAAGTAAAAGGAGTTGCAGGTGAGTATTGTTCTTACTCTTAGAGGAAATTCATTGTAGTTTTTAATAAAAATAAGACCCATCCCTATAAGGCTTTCTCCATTTTTGCTTTCCCAACCACCTCTGTTGCACAGATATTAACTGGGTGCTCACAACAAACAGGTCCTGAATTGTACTATGTCACAGGTATGGAGGGGACCTATTTTTGCAAGTTTTCCCTGACAGATACTCCCTTAGAAGAGTATCTAGTCTTGCCCTTCAATTATCAGAAAGTTGTCCTCATGGCCAATCAAACTCAGCCTCCCTGGCTTTCAGTGACAACCTAGTCTCACTTCCACTCCGGAGTACTACTGGACAACTTTTATTCCTCTGCTATTTGAAAGAAATAGTCCTTAAAATATGAGGAGAGTCATGTCCCCCTGAAGTCTACTCTTTTCCAGGCCAAATGCTTTTTTTTTAGTTTTAGATGGGCACAATACCTTTATTTTTATTTATTCACTCATTCATTCATTCATTCATTTATTTGTGGTGCCAAGGATGGAGCCCAGGGCTTCACACATGCTAGGCGAGTGCTCTACTGCTGAGCCACAACCCTAGCCCCTCAGCTGCTGTTCTTTATACCATGTGTTACCAACCCTTCAGCCCATCCTGATCCCCCATCTTAACCTCCATTTGTAAATGTCCCTCTTTAAATAAGACATTTGGAATAAACATTAGTGCTCTGGGACTCTCAGATGATGAATCCACTTTCTTTTAAGATTTCCATCTCAAAACTTTTATGTCTACAATTGTCATGTCATTAACCAGTTTCCCACTGTTAGTCAAAATTAAATTCAGAGTAGCAGTTTCTCGTGTTTCTTTCCACTATCTTCTATAAGAACAAGGCACATTAATAATTTATCAATGCAGAATGGAACTTTAGAACAGGTGACCAAGTTTGTTAAGCTTCAAATTCATTATCTGTAAAAAGTGCACAATAAAGTACCTACGTCATAAGATCTGAGGGGTAAAAAGATAACAAAGTGCTTAGCATAACATCTGACACCCAGTATGAACTTGATAAAAGTGCCTTGTTAACATTTCATATTCTCTCCTATTAGCTTCCTCAGACTCTTCATTACGCACCAATCCTCAGGACAAAGTCTTTCCTCATGGTGATAATGTCACCCACAATAACAGAAATATGAGGAGTTGTTTCTTGGGCTTTTTTTTTTTTTTTTTTAAACCAGGGGTGCTTTACCTCTGAGCCACATCCCCAGCTCTTTTTATTTAAAAAAAAAAAAATATATATATATATAGTTGTAGGTGGACACAATATCTTTATTTTATTTTTATGTGGTGCTGAGGATCGAACCCAGTGCCTCATTTGTGCTAAGTGATCACTCTGCCACTGAGCCACAACCCCAGCCCCCTTTTTTTTGAGACAGGGTCACACTAAGTTGTTTAGGGCCTCGMTAAATTGCTGAGACTGGCCTCTAACCTGTGATCCTCCTGCCTCAGCCTCTTGAGTTGCTGGGATTACAGGATGCACCACCTCACCTGCTTTGCCTCTATTACTTCTTTGAGACAAGGGATCCTACTGTACCTCTGGGCTTTGGCCATAAATCCCATCAGCATTTCTATAGATAACTTTTTTCAGGGGGTGGGGTATTATGGATTGAACTCAGGAGTGCTTAACCACTAAGCCACAACCTCAGCCCTTTTTCATTGTGAGACAGGGTCTCAACTTTGAACTTGTGATCCTCCTGCCTCTAGGATTACAGGCCTATACCTTTTGAAACAGTGTTTACTTCTAAGTGTTAAAATTTAAAGGTGTAAAAGCAAGGCACTGACAGGACACTTGGCTTTTTGGTGAGACCTTATGCACTGGCAGGTGGAGACTGGGGCCTCTGCATACTTCTGAGTCTGGTTAGTGACCATAGCCCTTTGTTTTTGGGGATGGACCCTCTCCTTTACCTGAAGCCCACTCCTGTCATATGCCATAGTAGTGCCTGGAGAAGCAGCCCATTTCCCAGAACTCCTTCCATAGCGCACAGATGCCTGGCATAATCAAGTGGGCACACAACACTTGGTTTCRGTTCACAGTTTGCACCTCAAGTGCAGTCATTATAACAATTAAAGTAAGACTTAATAATACAGGTCCACATCATTTATCCAAAAACCCTTGGAGACCAGAAATGTCCTAAAATTTAGGAAGGTAATATGATCTGTCTGCCCCATGTTACACGCACCATCCAACAATTCTGGGGCATCCCCTGGAATCAAATGCATTCACCTGCGAGGAGATACAGACAGACCCTTACCACACAGAGTCAAGGCTGGAGCGGCCGTCCCTCAGTTCAGGTCATACTTTGTCATCCAATTTATGTGCTAAGGTTTCATAAAATTATGGGGGGAAATTTCAATTTTTATTTTTTGCTGGCTTCTTATTTTATTGCTTTGTCCTGGCTGATTTTATCCATCCTGCCTCAGACTCAATTCCTTCCTTTAAGCAGTAAGCTAGAAGACACAATAAAGAAACATTCCCAGCCTCCTGCCTGGAGCCAAAAGGCTCCTTTCTGGAAGAGGCTGGAAATCACTGGTTCCATCCAACTCCCGCTTGCTAGGTATCACACATTATTGCAATGTGAGCATCCCTGCAAGTGTGGACCTATAAAAGGGGACTTCACTATCACTGGATCAGATGAAGCAGGCAGAGCTGAGAAATTTCTAAGTTCTATGGTAAAAGTAAAATGCAAATTACATGTCCAGGGGCTTCATCCAAAAGTCACCTGCTTTAGCATCTGAACATTTTAAACAGGTAACAGACGCAAGCAAACAAAATGAAAAAATGTGTGTATATAYACACACACACACACACACACACACACGTATTTTGCTGGCTGGTTTGTTTAGAGCTCTATGACATTTTACCCCCAAACTTTAGAAGCAAAGATCTGAGGGAATATTAGTTTACTTCTAAGACAAAGTTTGCCTCTTTTACCGAATATCAGCATTGTAGAGTTTTGCTAAACTGGATTATAAGATGCAAATTTCATCAGTCAGGTTTAAAAACATAAGCTGTATGGAACAAAATAAATATAAAAGTTGTGTTACCCAATAGGAAAGTCCAGCAAGTTTAATTAAAGAAAGATTAAGCCTTTCTTTTTAATGGGTGGACATATTAGCTAGGCATAGCCAAACTCTCCTGCAGGGCAGTAATCAGCAGCTGGTTAGGAATGTGCATGGTACTAATTTCAAAACAAACAAAGGGAAACAGGGAGAAGCAGGGGCCACCTGCCTGATAGTAAGCAGAAATACATGCCCCCTGTTCACATGGATGCTGGAAAAATGACCAAAGAAACAGGAATGTTGTTGACCTCTGTGGATGGAAAACTATCCTAGTTTGCTAAGAAAAGCTCACGGTCCTTCAGGCTTTTGACCTAATACATTCTATAGAAGATGAATGTGTTCTAGCCTCAGCTTTTGAGACCCTGCAAACTCCATACTCCAGGAGGACACATGAAGGTACAAAAGACGCTGCCCCCTTGCTGACCCGAGAATTCCAGGCCAGCAGTGCAGGTGGGATGGGGCAGGTGACATTAAGGATGCCTGTCATTCTCTCTTTCTGTGTTCCTGAATCCTTTCCCAGCTTTCTGAGCTCTTTCTGTACCTACAATGGCTTATGCTTTCCTGAATGGCTCACTGTTGATCAGAGAACCTTAGTTTCAGGGCTCCAAGGAAAATGAGAAGCAGATTTGTCCAAATAGAGGGAGCAGACCAGGCCAGCCAGCTTGCGCAGGGTGGGGTAGGCAAATCAGGAGAATGAAAAGGAAACATGCAGAATTACCTGGAGAACCTGCTGCTAACAACTCTGTTCTGCTGACAACAAAGGTACGAGACAGGGACAAAGGAACTGAAAAAATGGAGAAAAACAGGGTGAGACCATATTGAAAGGCAAGAAGGGAGACCTCTGTAATCAAAGGACAGGAGTGGACATCTGTTCTATTGATAGGAGCATTCAATCACAGAAAWGCAAAAGCCACGTAATATGACAAACAAAGCCCACACTGCTTTCCAGGAAGAGGTACCGGGGAGGCTTCAGTCAGGAGAAATCCTATTCACATGCTCCCTGCCTCGTCTAGAAATCTCTTAAGCCAATAATACTGAATCAAGGTTTGCAGCCCCCAAACATGCTACTGCTAAGGACCTCATCACAAATAGCCACCCAAAAAGGGAGCCCAACTGATCAACCAAGAGGATGGCCAAGCCGCACCCAATACTTATTCAGCGCACAGCCCACAGCGCTCGTTTCTGTGGCAAGTAATTAATTATTCAATTCATTCACATTCTCGGTAAGTCTTTTTTGACCTGATGCTTTGCACTGCTTTGGAATAATTTCAAATTTCAAAATAGAGGAAACTGAATAAAGCATTTCAAGCCCAGATTTCCTGAGCATGGCTGATCAAGGTCATGCTCACTTGCCACTTACTCGGAGGGGGAGCTGCGGTCCCATCGACACACAATGTTGGGCACATCTTGAAAACCAAGGATTGTCAGTTTTTTCCAGACAGCTAACTTTAATAAATAGAGACAGGCATCTCTTTATCTTGAAGTGCCTGCACTAAATGCATCCCTCAATGAATATACAAAATTCCAGACAGCTAGATGTACAGTCGAGTACAACACTAGGCTTTGGAATAAGTGAAATACTGTTAATAAACTTCCCTTCTTTATTGATAGCTTCAAACTAGGCGAGGGAGGATATTGCCACCCCAAGGCCTTGCTAGTGAAYGGGTACTCTTCACTTCCTCTTCTGAATGAGATTTGTCCCTAAAATGTGGTTCAATATGCACTGGGCTAATATTTAGGTTTAGAGAACCAGCAATCAACGAAAGAGCACAGGTGGGGCTTCTTTCTTTTCAAAGTCACCATACAGATCTGGTTCTGCTAACCTGAGGCTAATCTGAGGCTGGCTGCCAAAAGTAGTCACAATGACAACATCTTTCTATTATAAGACATTTCTGCTCATGTTGTAAAGGTCACAGCACACTTGTGGAAACACCACTGCCTTCTATCCTAATAATCACAGGAGGAAATATTACCATATTTCTTCAACAATGAGGAAGCCAAGGAACTGTCCCAATGTCATATAGCCTATAATGATGGAACCGTGGCTATATGAACCCAGGTCTTCTCATATCTGGTTAAAAGCCTCTCTCATACAAGCTAACAGTGAAAATAGAAGATCACCTTCAAGTTTACCACAGACACACCTACTAACTAGGGTCAGAAAGGCCTGTGTTCATACTGGGTGTCTGTCAGCAGTTGGTCAATGCCTGTGGCCCTCTAGACTTGCATGGGACAGTGAGGAGATGCATCTGGGCCAAAGGAAGTTTAGAACTTTGAGAGACATGCGACAGTGCCCTGGTTTTCTACAGTGCCCTGTAACATCCTTGGGCCCCTCAGACTGCCGGCTGGCACAGTAGATAGAGACAAACATCACAAAAACAGACTTGTCTGGAGATGTCCTCTCCCTTTTTTAAGAGTGTTTTTCAAAAGTGACAGTCATCTTTTTAGGTTGGGTTATTTTTAGGTTGAGGTCTGTTTCCCAAGACAGTCTATCATTTGGCATTTTGGCCACAAGGTGGCACTCCGGCACCTGTCTACCTGCTGACCTGCTCCAGCCAGAGCAAGGCTGCCAGTGAATGCCCTCCATGGCAAATGCAGAGGTGCACTCAAGACCCATCCAAGGTGAGCAAGCACACCAGGTATGTATGTCCGTGTTCATGCCCTGCTAGGACTGGGGCAGCTTTATAGCATCTTGGAATCTTTTGCACGGAGCTCTTGGTTAATCTACCATGGCATACCCACCCCCCTTAGCTGGCCAACTCAAAAGGCCTGCTCTCTAGATGAGGAGAGGTGGCCGTAGGCTGCAGATATCAACAACCTTGTTCATTCTCAGAAAGATGCAAATAAGAACTTCCAGAGTAGCTAACATTTAGAAGTCTCCAGTGTTAGGTGGAGAGTGGCTGGAACCTCGCAGAACAGGCAGGGGTGTGACTGGTACAACCCTCTGGGAACTATTGGGCAGTGTCCACCTGAGCTGAAGAAGCACGTAGGCCATGACAAGCAGTTCCACTTCAACACACACACGTTTACCAAAGACCCCGCCAGGAAGGTTCCGCACACAGTTCAAGCAGCCCCAAACAGGAAAGGACACTACCAGTGTCCATCAGCTGTAGAGTCTCACAATGGAATACTACAATGCAGCAAGAAGAAACATATACGAGCACACACAAGGACCACAGACCAGGGTGACAAGCACGACACCGAGAGGGAGAAGCAGAGCTCCAGAGTACATTTGCATAATTCCATTTATACAAAGCTCAAGATGGTAGTTGCTTTGGGGGGACAGTGACTCAGGAAGCCTGAGGGGGCTTCTGTGAGGTGGGTGACGCTCTGTCTCGACCTCGATGCTAGACTACACAGGTGTGTTCAGTGTGTGAAACTCACAAAAGTGTATACTATGATTAACATCAATAAAAAGTTYAGAAAGTAAGTAAATAAAGTCAATCGGCCGGTACCGAGAGAAAGCTGCTGCAGAAGGGCAGGACTGCCTAAAGCAAGGCCCCGCCTAGGAAGCAAGATCCAAACTCACCTGGAGAGGCTGTGAGGGCCATGACGCCATAGTACGAGAAAGCACTTGCTTCAAACTTCATCCCCTCCTTCCCAGCTTCCACTTCCACTTTCCCCTGTGGAAAGAAAAGGGGTGGTTGAGTCTGGCCGCGTGAGTCTGTATGCACAGTTGACACAAAATTTGGTCCTTCCTCAGGCTTTTGTCTAAATTCCTTTCCCAWTGATCCCAAGGAAGCTTCAGATAATTTTTCTCATGTTGAAGAGGGGGTTAATTCATCTTTAATAGGAAAACCAGATTTGGATGGATATGTGCAGGTGGTAATAAAGTGTGACAGKTACCATCTGGGAGTCCACTTAATATTCTCCAGCATCCTTAGTTCTTGGGCTCTTTGAGAGCCCTCCAGTCACAAAAAGATGGTGCTCTTGCTCCATCAGTGAGAAAAACACTGAGCCGGTGCTCAGTGTGGCTGCCTAAGCTGTCCTGCAGGACCCAGAGTCGGGGTAGAATCCAGTTCAAGGGCCAGTATGGTTTGTGGCCATGGATCAAAGTCCTGGACAGAACCACTCCGATCTCATAAACCCTATGTCCTGAGTATCTGAGCAGAGACCTAACAGGCCAGCTCCCTGGGGGGACTTCGGCACATGGMCCTTCTCCTCATCATCTTGGAAAAGTGCCTAGAGTCTCCTTCCATTGGAACAGAACTCCCTTTGCCTCCCCTAACCTTTCCCCCGGTTTCTCTTTCTCCAACTTGTCTGCAACCTTTCTCTCCATCGTTACCACTTCTGTGGGGGAAGACTGTGCCTTATCCATCCCCCAAAGCCCCGAAGCCACCATAATCCTTCCAGGGGAGGTGCCCCACATGAGTTTCCTGGCCTACGCAATGTTCTCAGTGAGTCTCACTCCTAGATGACCCAGCCAAGTGTCAGAACGTCTTGCTCACATTACCTATGGCTGCCTCTTCAGGGAGCAGGCATCTCGACAGTACKTTCTTTACAAGGGGTTAACAAGTGTTAAGCAACCATTTGTCGAAAAGCAACTGTGCTAACACCTCATGATGTTTTGTTAATCCAGTTAAGGCTCGTAACTCTATGAATCAGACACAATTATCTCTCTCTCTTATAAATCAGGAGAGAGGGGCTCATATTTAGTGGTCAAATAACATGCTACACATGCCATCAACTATTATGAACCCCATTATTCTGATCACACTGTATTAAATTATCTTACATTAAATTCTCAATTATAGAAGTTCTTTCTTAGATTCCTTCTTCAGGAGGAAGACTAACTGTGCCCCTCTCTCAGGTTTTTCTTCACTCTATGGAAATACTTCTTTTTACTAGTCCTAGACAATTCTCTTGCTGTAAGAAAGGAACTTAAAATTACAAAATTACACACATCTTTTTTTTTTTTTCCAGTGCTGGTGATTAAACCTTGGGCCCTATAACCCAACACCTCAACCCACAATTTTAAATCAACCTGCAAATAAGTGGATGCTGAAAACCCTTGCYATGCAGGTAGGGCCCCACAGGGGGCACTGTGGAGCCCATGGGAAGGCAGCCTTGGCCCTCTAAACAGCTTATAGTCCTATGGGTAGAGGACAGCAGGGAAGACCAATGAGCGAGCCAATAAACAAAAGCACTATGGGAAAAGGACAAGAAGAATATAAGGGAGTTCAGAGGAAAAACACTTTTTATTCTCGATAAAGACACATTTTATACACAGGAAAGAAAAATATAAGGATGAGCAGGATCTGGTTGAACCGAGAGAAGGGAATGGCATGAAGGAAGGTTGGAGGCAGGTGACAGACGCCAGGCCGGAGGCTGTGCGAGGGAGAAGGGGAGAGGAGGCTGGAGAGCAGCTTGGTGAGCAGTTAGGACCACAGGGCTCCAGGAATAACGACTAGGGCAGGTGGGTTCTAGGGCAGGTGGGCTCTAGGGCAGGTGGGTTCTAGGGCAGGTGGGTTCTAGGGCAGGAGGGTTCTAGGGCAGGTGGGTTCTAGGGCAGGTGGGTTCTAGGGCAGGTGGGTTCTAGGGCAGGAGGGTTCTAGGGCAGGTGGGTTCTAGGGCAGG